TGGAGTTACATGTGCTGATAAGGGCATAGTTAGGGCACTGGAGTTGAGGGCAAGATTAGGGTGCTGGAGTTGTGGGCAGGATTAGGGTGCTGGAGTTGTGGGCAAGATTAGGATACTGGAGTTGAGGGCAAGATTAGGGTACTGGAGTTGAGGGCAGGATTAGGGTGCTGGAGTTACTCTGCCAGGCTGTAAGGGCAGAGATAGAGTTCTCAAGTAACACTGCCTGTAGTTTAGCAAAGGTTAGGTACAGCAGAGTTAGGGTAAGAGCAGAGTTAGGGTACTTCAAGTTATTGCACTGCCTCACTGTAGAGTTACACAGCCTCAATATAATGGCAAAGTTAGGCAACAGTAGTCACACAGCCTCAATGTAATGGTAGAGTTAGGCTTTAGTAGTCACACAGCCTCAATGTAATGGTAGAGTTAGGCTTTAGTAGTTACACAGCCTCAGTGTAATGGCAGAGTTAGGCTTTGGTAGTTACACAGCCTCAGTGTAATGGTAGAGTTAGGCTATGGTAGTTACACTGCCTCAATGTAATGATAGAGTTAGGCTGCGGTAGTTACACAGCCTCAGGGTATTGCAAGTTACATTACTGCCTCAGTGTAAGGGCAGTAGTTAGGGTGCTTAGAGTTACGGTACATCCTCAGTTTAAGGGCAGAGTTAGGGAACTTAGAGTTACAGTACTCAGTGTAAGGGCAGAGTTAGGGTACTTAGAGTTACAGTACTCAGTGTAAGGGCAGAGTTAGGGTACTTAGAGTTACAGTACATCCTCAGTTTAAGGGCAGAGTTAGGGAACTTAGAGTTACAGTACTCAGTGTAAGGGCAGAATTAGGGTACTTAGAGTTACAGTACTCAGTGTAAGGGCAGAGTTAGGGAACTTAGAGTTACAGTACTCAGTGTAAGGGCAGAGTTAGGGTACTCAGAGGTACAGTACTGCCTCAGTGTAAGGGCAGAGTTAGGGTACTTAGAGTTACAGTACTCAGTGTAAGGGCAGAGTTAGGGTATCTTGAGTTACAGTACTCAGTGTAAAGGCAGAGTTAGGGAACTTAGAGTTATGGTACAGCCTCAGTTTAAGGTCAAAGTTAGGGTACTTAGAGTTACAGTACTCAGTGTAAGGGCAGAGTTAGGGTACTTAGAGTTATAGTACTCAGTGTAAGGGCAGAATTAGGGTACTTAGAGTTACAGTACAGCCTCAGTGTAAGGGCAGAGTTAGGGTACTTAGAGTTACAGTACTCAGTGTAAGGGCAGAGTTAGGGTACTTAGAGTTATAGTACTCAGTGTAAGGGCAGAATTAGGGTACTTAGAGTTACAGTACAGCCTCAGTGTAAGGGCAGAGTTAGGGTACTTAGAGTTACAGTACTCAGTGTAAGGGCAGAGTTAGGGTACTTAGAGTTACAGTACTCGGTGTAAGGGCAGAGTTAGGGTACTTAGAGTTACAGTACTCAGTGTAAGGGCAGAGTTAGGGTATCTTGAGTTACAGTACTCAGTGTAAGGGCAGAGTTAGGGTACTTAGTTACAGTACTCAGTGTAAGGGCAGAGTTAGGGTAACTTGAGTTACAGTACTGAGTGTAAGGGCAGAGTTAGGGTACTTAGAGGTACAGTACTGCCTCAGTGTAAGGGCAGAGTTAGGGTACTTAGAGTTACAGCACTCAGTGTAAGGGCAGAATTAGGGTACTTCAAGTTACAATACGGCCTGTGGTTTGGTCAGTGTGAGATAGTGGACTTACATATCATGTAAGGACAGGCTAAGAGTACCATTTAGTTATATTCTGCCTGTAAGGATAAAGATGGGATATTTGAGTTATCCTACTTCCGGACAGCCTGTAAGGGAAGAGCTAGGTACTCTTTGTAACACTTACCGGTTTATAATTAGGACTATTGAGCACTGGGTGACAGTGATGAAGAGGTGTGAGATTTGATACAGTGATTACGTTACCTCCATGTCAATCTGATGTATCTGTCTGGGGTCTGAACATATAATTAAAATCTTAAATACAGACTTTCTTTGTTATTGAAAATCCTTTTTGACTATGATTAAGCAATACAAGCTTGTCTTGTGGAGTAAATTAAATATCAACATTTCTATTTGTGAAAAAGTAATGAAACATTCAAAGGTAATATTATCAAACTCAAATGAAAAAAAAGCCAATTGGGTTGATTCTTGAATTATGTTGTAAACATCTTGACAATTGTTATAAACAAATTTGCAATGGATGTGCTTATAGAAACAGTACAGTACATTGGGAGAAAGATCTGCCACTTGCATGTCAAAAAATATTATGCACGTGGTAAAGTTTTGTTGTCCCTGTTTATATCAAGGTCATTAGGGCGTTTGCTGGGATTGTGCATTGGACACACTTAATCAGCCACGGACTATGTTATCGTATGACAAAAATTAATCTGCTTTTGATTACTTGATAAAACTACACAATGCTTATCACAGCTTTAATTGCATTTCTGGTCTTTTGACATTTTCAAGGCTTGAATCATATTTGATTTAGAACATTGATTGATTCCCTGACAATCTGCCATTAAAACAATTAACTTATGATTTTTATAAAATTTAGTAGGTTGATTAGCAATCAGAAATGTTTACAAAAAATACAAACTGAATCATTTCAGAAAATAAAAACACAGGGATCAATATACCATTACATAGATTCCTGATTAACCGTTCCCCCTCCCCCTCCCCTTGTTAGCTTGTTCTCCAGTAATTAAGGAAGTCTACTGCAACAAACATCTAAATCTGTGTGAAATGTATTTATTTTCCTTGTACAGGAGTGTTGTTGCATAATTAGAAAATTCTAGCTGTGTTGTTTGTTATAGACATAAGGTAAAATTTCCAATCTGAATTGACCTATTCTGATGTGATTGATATCTTAGTTCATTTGGAGGAACACTTATACCTACAACAAATGTTTCATTGGCTGTCAGAGGTTCTATACATCACAGACATATTGTGAAAATACATGGATATTAAAACAGGATTCCTTCTATGATTATGGATTTGAGTCCTACTAGTGTAGTACTGCTCTCTCAGATTCTTATAAAATGGCCAGGTTCATGAAATAAAATACATGTATATCACAAGTCTGTAAAGTCTTATCAAGTGTTTCCTTTAAAAAACCTAAACTGAAGTAAATGAAGAAGACAATTTTCATGATGATGATGAGGAGGAGGAGGGGGAGGAGGAGGAAGATGATGACGATGATGATGAGGAGGAGGAAGAGCAGGATGACGATGACCAAGATAATGACGAGGATGATGATGATGATGATGATATTGATGATGCTGATGATGATGATGATGATGATGATGATGATGATGATGGCAATGAGGAGAAGGAGGAGATAGCAGTGAGGAGGAGTAGGAGGAAAAGGAAGATGGCGATGACCAAGATGATGACGAGGATGATGACGATGATGATGAGGAGGAGAAGGAATGATGATGATGATGATGATGATGATGATGATGATGATGATGATGATGATGATGATGATGATGATGATGATGGCAATGAGGAGGAGGAAGAGGAAGAAGAAGAGGATCAGAATGCATGGTTTATAATTGTGTTTATCAGTAACACTTTAATTTCCTGTATTTAAGGAACAACTCATTCTCCAATGGTTACCAACACCTACACAAGATACAGTGACAGTGATAAATATCAGCCAGTTATAGAAAGTACATTTTAATGTACAGACATCGATGTATGGATGCAGAACTTGACTGCATACTGTCAGTGATATCCTAATCCTTCACGATAAGCAATGCAAAACTTAAATTTGTGATGCTGCATGAATAATAGCATTAGTAATTTTAAACGGAAGCATTTTATACATTTTTGTTTCGGCAAATTGGGACCATAAACTACCCACATAGACTGCACAACACAGTTAACTGTGTTATGAAAACATGGTCAGTTGTGTCTGATATTGTATTTGTTTGATTGAAAAAGTGTTATTTTCAATATTGGCAATAATTAAGTATGATGGCTAACACCAAATTGCGACGTTCACTCAATAGCTTGGCGTCGACCGCTTTTTGTTGACGCCAGAGTCAAAATCCAAATCGTAAAGTACAACAAAAGATGACAGAATTATTAAAAACCAATTTCGGCATTCCAGCGATATTACAAGTTTGAGACCAGTCCGACAGATTTGGCAATACTATCTTAAGCTTTTGAGCCAGAGGATTCACGCTCCAGTCGATACGTTGTCAGTTGCTGCCCGTTGGTGTTCATTCAAATAACGAAACATCAATAATGCTTAAAGCAATCCAAATACTTCTTGACAGCTTAATTTCTATAAGAACTCAAAACCTGTTTGGGCTGTTTCTTTCCTTCTGATATTGCTGCTCAAATTCTTTATAAGAAATTATATTTTGGTTGCTGTTTCAGAGTTAAATCTCTGTTTGAAATATTTGGTTTAGTAGTGTTGTATAAGCTCTGATTAAAAAGATATTTGTGTTTTCAAAGGCTACATATTGACTTCATTATCCTATTACATACCTTATCAAAAATGTGATGGATTTTTTGGTTGCAGTCTGAATTCTAGGGAGAAGAACATCAAGTGGTTGATGATGGTAGATTTCATACAGACATGACAGTGCATTTTTTTTCTCTTTTTATCATGTCATTTCAGAGAGGAGAAATCAGGGTCACAGAAATGGTTGCATTTCTAAGAGTCTGATTGATCAAGATTCAAATAATCTTCCATAATGAGCTTTAATAGGACTAGAGTTTGGGCATGACATGCTGGAATCTCATATACTCAAAATGAAACCCACCAATTGGTTTTATCATACAGATGAGAAACTTTATTATAGTAGGATCATGATAATGATATTTAGACCAGTAGTAATGGTCTTTAGAAATGTTTTATTGCTGTTTTTTATTTCTTAAATGAACATATCATTTCTTGAGCATGATTAGTTACCATTTATACACATACCTAATATAAATATTATCTATTTATTGTGCATTAATCTTCTTTCATTACAGGCCTTTACTTGTGGGAACACATTTTTGATGGAGTACTAGAACGAAGACTTCAAGGTATCTGGAGTTATGGAGAAAAAACAATTGGCAACATTATATTCAGGTAAGTTTCGGACCATTTTATCAAGTCAATAGTCCAGCTCTGGCTACCGAATTCTGCAACAGGTAAAGTCCTAGAAAGGTACAACATGTCAGCAAAGAGACACTTTGATAGTGCTATCACAACGAAATATCATTACCAGAACAAGGTAACATGACACCATGCCTAGTTACTGACAATGACAGAATTAGGTTTGTCTTTGTGTGAGGACAGAACCTTTACAACCTCAATAGAGCTCTAGAGACCAAAAAGAGGTTTAGTCAAGCAATATGTTCAATCACAAAATGCAGCTACACAAAGAAGAGGAAGTATCCTAATTTTAATTTTGCAGTCCTGCGAGAGCTTCATGTGTTCTTTTTGACCTGCATTGTTTTGAAGAATTTTGTTTTTTTTCTTGCTAAGTGCCAGAGATCCTTAGAGTAGAGTATTGTTGGTCTAGACTTCTGATAACACTCCCCACAACAGTTTAACATTACAGCACTGTAAGGTAATAACTTCATTTGATTGGCTTAGAAAAAAGGGTGAACTATGTAGTGATTCCTGCTGACAAAGCATGCCTAACAAATGTAGCAACTTTTTGTATTAATGTTCATTGACTTCTTCATCATTTCTAGTTGGGGGTGTTTTTTTACAAAGCATTGGAGAAGTTGGATTTCATCGCAGAAAAACTTTGAAAGGGCAAAAACATGGCTTACAAAACTATTTATAACTATTACTTATTGATTTACCCACATTCTTTTTCTTGTCTTCATTATTTTTTGTATTTCTTCTGTTTTCTGCTGTATAGGTTTCTGTCACTCTAAAACTAAGTCGTATCAGTTGGATTTTGAACCAACTCTGTGGGAATAATACTGGTGTTTTATGATTTGGCAAGATTGTTACCATGGCAATGAGATGAGAATGGGTAGAAATGACATTATAGAACTTTCTCTAAGATGATGGAGTAAATGACAGCAAAGTCACTAGAGTCGTTACCAAATGGAGGCTGACAAAACTTTGATTTTAGAGAATTTTATGTAAAGATGTAGTATGATATCTGCATCACAATGATGATGTGCATTTTCCAGTTGTACAAAAATTTAATTTTTATAGGTGTACATCAGGGTTCCCTGCCAGTGTCAAGTTTGTTGTTTGAGATTTTTAAGGGTATACATTAGGGGACATTAGGGTATACACCAGCCTGTTCTACACGTCTTCTTTCCCTTATGTTGAAGTATTTAGTGAACATCATTCAGGACTGAATGGGTAGTTTAGGGGACATTAGGGTGTACACCAGCCTGTTCTACATGTCTTCTTTCCCTGAGCATCATTCACCACTAAAGGGATAGTTTGGGGGACTTATGAAACAGTTCCCATTACAGCAAATACTTGATATGTGCCTGTTATTACTAGATTGCTTTTCAAGATAAAATATCAATTAAAGTCAAGGTCACTATTAAACAGAAAGTTCTGCTCAATAACTTAGGTTCTACTGGACTGATCAATCACAAACACTATAAAACAGCGCCTGGATAATCACCCATTCGGGGGTATTAGTATCCTTCAGCAATATCTTGTTTACCTATTAAATGGCCAAAGAACTTTGCTTTTTTTCTAATTTAACAATTTCCAAATTTAGATGCAATAATGTACATCATGGCCATCCTGATATTGATCAAACTCTCAATTATTACTGCAAGTACATGTACAGTATGTAATTATCTTTTATTACATTATAACATGGTGGTAGTAATGCTTCACCTTCAATTTCTTGCTTTTATAGGAAACTGGGTAACACATCATAGAGACTTGGACTGATTGCTTTTCTAAAATAGCTTGACTTTGTTCATAAATCCCGAGGTAAATGAGGAATAGACATTTGTCATTTGCTGTACCATCCTCCTGTGATTGTGAAGCCAGTCTTTATAGATACACGTACCTCTCATAACTCTCTCACCATTCATACATTCATTAACTGCGCTTAAATATATTAGGCAAATGTAACAAATTTTCTAAAGGTCAGTGATATATTTATGTCATTGACCTTCTAGGATGTCTAAAACTGATCATTGAAAAAACACTTAAACAAGTTCATCCTTTGTTCTGAAATTCATTATATAACATACGTCTTCACTGACCTTTAACCTCTTGTGAATGATTGCATTAGTCAGTTTCTTGTTTACTTATATATAATCTTTATGTTACATACATAGCTGAAATACCAATAACGAAAAGTATTGATTACTCAAGCATCTTGATAAGCTGTCTGATCAATGGCCTTCTCTTGCCTTTTTATGACCTCAGTGACCTTGAGAATGAGTAGACATGCAAGGTCCTGAGGTTGAAATCAGACTGTCAGTCAAAATGACCACAATCAGCTACAAGCTGATGCAATTAAAAGTTATTTGATTGCAACACATTGGCCTTGAACTGGTAGTATTATCGGAAATATTTTTACATCTAACTTCTGTCTGAAGTTTCTTGTGCTATAAATCAGGAATTTTCTCACTAGGCTTGTCTGCAGAGATATCATTACTTAACACCCAACATTTTAGCTCAATTCGACTGTTCAATATTCCAGTATCAATAAATCTTATATCTGCATGTCCCTTTTTTTTTTTTTTTTTGTCATCAGCTAATGGTCAAGGGTCAAAGGCCTTTTTCTACTTCTACAAATTCATCATATAAAAGGATGCTTAAATAAATGCAAAATAGACTCACAGTAACACAGTAAAGGAATTAATGTCTCACAGACATTTTCTTTTTCACCAAAGTTATAACTTCTTCCGAAATTTGTTTCTTTCTCATATTTTGGGGAAAAAAAAGAGAAAAATGCAGGAATTTTTCTTCAAGCAACAAGTGTCAGTGAAACCTGTATGTGAATTTCAAACATGATAAACTCTGATTTGATCATTTCGATGTGTCGTCTCCACTGATTGTAGCATTTACTCAGGCACTCAATGATAAACTTTGTAACATCCATTTGTGTAAAGCTTGTCTGTGAGTATTCAAGTTTGCAAGTCTAAATGAAGCGATAATCACAGGTCCTGTCAAGCAGGTGAAGAAAAAGATAGATTGACAGACATTTTAATTACTCTTCCTGTGCCAAGGACAGATAGGGTATCTGCTAACAGAGAAAGGATGCCATTATTTTCCTTCAAAGCATCGGCAGCTAACCAAGTATATTATCTGCTTGCCATCAGAAAGGTATATATTGTCTTCACAAATGGTACATAGAATTACTCACAGTGATTATATAGTTGTTACATACAGTAGCAACTGCATTCTAAATAGTCCATTAAAATACAAATATACTACCACATGAAGTTTCCGAGAATAGAGTTATGTCCCCTTAACATTATAAAAGCCACAGGCTGTAGTGGAGTGTATTATCTTTGTAGCTGGAGTTCTAACATTAATACAGCAATATTATACAATTTTATGATTTATTTCTCGGCATGTTACATTATTGTTATTGATATTATATTGTTGCTAATGGATTCAACAAAATTATCTTACTCCGTGTTTGGAAAGTCAAGGTAACGTAGTACTTTTCTAGACGTTTTGATGCTTCTCCATTTTATGGAGAGAAGAACGGTATTAAACCAATGTCTGACGTCGGTTACACCCAATGTCAAATGAGTATTTGTTATAGACTTCCTGGATCAGGGTTGGTTCAAAGGTCAAGGTCACTTTTACTGTTTATGGAAAATCAGCATGTACTTAAATGCCATATCACTCGAGTGATTTTTTTTTCTGTAGGGATTAAGCAAACTTTTACAATGGAAGAGGACAAGCAAGGTTTGGAGAATTATATTAAATAAGTTTATGTTTCAAGGTCACTGTAACTTAGTTCTTTATGCATGTTCATTCAACATGATTCCACAACATTGAGAGTTGAGAGAAGTTTGATATTCGTGTCTCTTGTCTCACAGACAGTTTCCAGTTTCAAAAATCATTTATTTCATGATATACACATTTGTGATGCTCAGTATCAAATCTTTCAAAAGTTATTAAAACCAAGATTAAAAGCTGTAAAAAAAACGTTTCGGTATTCAAGTTTCAGTATTTATTTTCAACAAGATCTATGAAAGCCATTCAAGCTGCATTTTATACGTAGCAGTGAAAACTTAAAAAAGAAAAAAAAAATATGATTAATGCAGCTCTCTGACAATAATCGAAATTTAATGAAATCTTACTTTAGTGTGCTAAAGATTGTAGACTACCAGGGAAAGAATTACCTAGACAGTTTTCCTCGTGGAAAATATTATCTAGCTGGTTTTCTTCTTTGGAAACCTATCAGATGTGGAATGAATTTATAAGACCAGTATATAAAGGGATGGGCATCATCTGGCTCCACCTGAAGAATATGACTATAATCTTTATGCTAGTCTCTGGTGATGTAACCTCTTAGGGTACAGTCCTTTATGGAAATTTTAATAGATTGTTTTTCAGATTAACCAAAGGATATATTTTTAGTTGTGACAATTATGAGAAGGGAGCAGGTGACAAATTTGTTCAAGGAAAAATCATGACTTTCAAACACTGCAGAAAAGCTTTTGAACTTTTATAACTTCAGAACATTCTTTGGTTTCTGAAATTTCATTAGAATGATATAATGACCAGTGTTGAAATCTAGTGTAAAACAGGTTTTGTAATTTATTAGGAAGGCAATTTTCCAAATTTGTGTAAACATTTTTGGTTCTGTCTGTTGCTGGATCAGAAAACTAATCTATTATGATGGCAATGCTTGCTAGCAGACAGGAATTTGTTGCTGATGCAATCTTGATGAAACCTTGACTCTACATGCTGTTGGCTAATTTGAGCCCAATTTCAGGCTGATATCGAAAATTTCATGCACCAGAAGATCGAAAACCAGCATGATAGAAATGTGCACTCTTGTGGTTATGCACATCAAGCCTTCAGGGTATTTGAAGAGAGTTTTTCCTCAAAATCTTTGAAATTTTAATGAGAATTTGTTCAACAATGAGGGTTATGATGGTTTGAAATTTTGCAATGACAAA